CTTAACATTCAGAAACTTCATATGAGAGCCTTTCGTAGCTCGTTACACTAGATGCACATTTTTGTGTTCCATATCCTTTTAATTTTCAAAGTAGAACATGTAAAACCATTACTCTATTAAATGTATTATAAATAAGGCTATATGTTTGAATTAGTTTGATTTTACAGGGAAGGAGTTTCCTGAATTTATTCCTTTAATTTTCAGTGTACCAGGAGGCTACAATAGTGCTGCAAGGCAGACACAGTTCTTTCGCTGCAAGTGCATAAACAACAATCTTAAAATGCACATCCAATAGGGAAAAAAAAAAAACAAAAAAAACAGAACTTCTACAAATGTTATTAATCATCTATACAAGAAGAATAGCAATTCCAATGCAATGTCAATATTTCATACGTGTTTAAACCACTCTTCTTCCACTATACACACTTTTTTTTTCCCAAAAGTTGGATTATGTTATCTTCTTTGTCCTCTCAAAGGAGCATCCATGGTGCATTAAAAAAATAGATTCATTAAGACATGTATGCACCTAACAAGCCCAAGTCTACTACATATCCCTCCCAACTCTTCTTCGAACTACATAATTTATGTAAGGAAAGGCCCATGTCACCTAAGAAAATGATGGTGGTTTCAGCCCAGACCAAAGTACTTCCATGAAAATGTCTAACTCCAATCCTGCAAAACAAGACAGAAAGGAAATACTGGTCAAGCCTCACCACTGCATTGACTCTAACTGCCTCAGGAATTTGTAGCATTGCTAACCTCACCCCCAGTGCCTGATCTGCAAAGCAATCCTCACAGGCTACTTAAGCAGGTGCAGAAGAATTTCCTAATCTGGTGCTTCTAAAGGCAAAAGAAGTTGGGATTTTCCTTTCTGATGCAGGTTCTCAACACAAATTCTGGTGTGCTTACAAATCACGTCTCCCCAGTTACACTGACACAGGGTTTCTACATCGTTGTTTTAATTTGCAAACAAATTGCACACACGACTTTATCTGTGGAAGCCATACAATTTGATGCATGGAGGTTTGCATGTCAAGGAATAAACGACCTGTGTTTGTTTTTTCAACATTCAAAGCCAGCATATGTTTGGCTCTACACTTTATTTATGTTCTATATGTACTTTGCCTCTTCGAAGCCTACGGCAAACAGCTGTCATTAACATTCACTCCTTCTGCTAACACTTTCCCTAATCCCTAACTGGCTTTCCAGCCTATAATTAAACGCTCCAGCTGCCACACTTGGAGATGGCACCAATATGCAATGTGTTTTTTCAAAGTATTCTGTCAAAAACTCTACAGTTTCTAAGAGCATAGGCTGGCACCTCTTACGAAGAAGTGGAGGTCTTAGGCCAAAAGCCATTTATTTACTTACAAGTCACCTTTTCTTTAAGTAGGGAAACCAAATGACCACAAAATACCATCTTATTAATTGTACCAATACAGTTCTTTACTACCACTAGAGGGAAAAGTGCCTGAAAACTAATGGATAAAAGCTGTACATGTTTCCAGATTTTGCATGCCAAACACACTGAAAAGAATCACAAATCCACCATGACTAACAAAACTACTCAATCTAAGCCCAAAGTTTAAATACCAGCTCTGCAATGAAAGAATTTAGATTAAGACATTCTGAACAAATGTAATGAAAGATCAAACATCTTACATTAGCTTGCCGTATTAGATTTGGGTTAGCATTTACAATTCACAAATCTGTTTTTCATTAAAAATAAAGGGAAATAAATGTAAATTATTAGTTTTCTAAGTGGAGAAAGCTGACAACTTCTTTCTCAGACACTGTTGTCAGTGTTCAAGAGGATGTTATATTTTAGAAAATCACTGGTTTTATAGCTGAATAAAAGAGAGAAGATGTCTGAAATAATCACCATACTTTTTTGCAACACTGCATATCCTCCCTGTGACAACTTAACTGGCTAGATTAGGAAGAACATAGTATCTGCAGGCCCATACACATCAGGCTTAGGAGAAGGATGATCCATAAACCTTGCAGACTTGGGGAAAACATCCCCACCAAATATACTTAAACTCGTACCATTTTGCGAGCCCAAAGTGGAAAACAAACCAAAACAACAGCATTTGAGATGTGCAGGGCCTTTGCATCCAGAAAGCTCACCCAACAACATGCACAGCATCTCCAAATCCCGGAGCTCTGTACTCCAGGCATGGCAAAACGGAATTCGGCATCTCCAAATATTATCTGTTCCAGAGGAGGGTGACATTTGCTCGGCTGCTGCAGCGCTATCATTACGCACAGCAAGTGAACTTCATTCACAACACAACTGGCAAGCGTCCATCCCCAATCCCAGTAATGCGTTATTATCCCGAAGCGATTGTTTGGCCTGTTGATGAAAACCCGGGAATGTTCTGGGTCAGCTCCCCTGCTGCCTCCTCTTTGAGCGCTCAGGAGTCACAGCGTGCTTTGGCTTCGCGTGTCGTCTCACGTGTCAGAGAGAAACCCAGTGCTCAGCTCCTGCTTTCGTGTTTCACCAACTACAGAACGGTTTCACGGGAGACGAAGGCTGCGCCCTCGCTGGAAGTTTGCAGCTCTTTAAACAAAGCGGGGGTACCATCATGGGAAAGGAATGCATTAATTTTAAATTTTAACCACTGTTGGAAGGTTGTTGACTTTCTGTCAACTGCTGTAAGACGGCAGTGTTGTAAAATATTTCAGCAGTTGCACAGAATGTACCAGCTACTATACGGATATTTTAGTAGACACAACAGAAGATTAATCATTCTGGTTTTGTATAAAGCACTACGCCACAGTGAGGAAAACAGACAGGTGCAAAAATGCAAAAGCCTAACAGCTATTGCATATTCCTAGCAGTGAGGCAAGAAAGGTCAATATTTTAGGTGGAAATTAAAGCACTTTGAGCTCTCTCTAAGCTATGGGTAAAACTTGTTCCTTATCTTAAACAGATCCTTTTAAAGATTAATTTTGAACACTGTTTAAGCTTCTAATATAAATTCCTTGAAAGGTTAAGAGCACATGAAAACAGCGTGTTTCACTGAAAACTGTTTGTCAGTTTTAATCACAGAATAACTCTACAAAGAGGTGTGACTGATGCAATCTAAATATGCACATGACAAATGGGACTGTTAATCCTTGGGGCTTCTTCTACAGAGGATCAAGCAGAGCAGGCAGCCAGTTATCAAACCAAGGAGCTAGCATAACACTTCCTAGAGCTGGGGATGAAAGATTTGCAACGCTCACAGGTCAAATGTGTATTCCCACCCTCGTGGGAGCCTACTTTTGGCTTATTTACCACGGAACAGGGCAGAGGGAGCACCCCAAAGCCAAGTGCCTTGCTGCACCTAACAACTGGGCTGCTCCACAATAATGTACCAAGAGAATCTTCCTTACCTACACGAAGCAGGACAGCAACAGAGAAACAGAGTTTAGTGCTTTACCTGTGCCTTGAAAGAATGGTTCATCCTGCAGTAGTAGCTTGGATAGGACCGACTAGGGGCCTTTCGGATAAGCCCTGCGTGAATGAAAGCCTTGCCTATTACTGAAAGCTCTTTCATCTTCCCATGGGAGGCTACAAATATTCCAGCCTCCTGCTAACTTTTCAAATTGTCGCCTTTTCCTTATGACAGGGAATGATGTAATGGGTTGCAAGTTAATTCCATTACTCACAAACAGCAACGACCCAAGTGAATTCTTCAGGAGTAACAGAAAACACTTGTCATGCCTCACCATCCAACTTTCTGTAGATACTAAGTATTTTGCAGAAATGGTATGTTAGACAATGTTAAGGATTATTCTTAAATACTCATTTTGTAAGTCTCTGACAGTAGAGACATTATTACGACTCTAACTTCAAATCTCAGAAAGGGATAAAACTTCCACATAGTAACTCAGAATGGGTTTTCCAACTAAGACTATTTCAGAACATTAGTTTAGAGCAGAGCAGATTATTCAAGGTCTTAAACAAAGGCCAAACACTGGAACACTAGAACAGAGTATTTCTTGCTAAAGAATCTCAAGATACTGTACTTAAACATAACACTTGTCAAGGGGTGCCTTCTACCCAGCCAACAGCTCAAACGGGTATATTTTTGAATAAAAATAATTCTGTTTATCATTCAAATACTTATTTAGACTCTTGTTAATGTTGGTATTCTCCCGTTTGAATATCTGGATAGCTCCTTTCAAGTTTAGCGGCCAAAATTTAATTAAGAAACATGTAACTGCTAGTATTTTTAAACAATGCCATGCAAACATTAATAATTGCTTATCAAATCCATGTTACAAAATCAAAATACAGCCAGTGGAAAATAGATACAGAGAGACTCGCATTCAGCAGAACTGGTTTTGTTTGGAAAATTAACAGACAATGCATTGCCTTGGCCGAGACCTTGGTTTGTTTGCCAAGTTCCATCCTGCAGCGATTTCTCTTCTTACAACAACATTGCGGACACGGAAGACACTATCATGGAAACAGACTTTCGAGTCTACGGGTTGTGAACAATGACAGCCCTGGAATTCCTGGGAAGAAAGCAGGAAAGCATTTTTAACAAATTAAATAGATGTATTTTATCCCTTTATAACCTCTTTGAAACTAGGGAATGACGGATATCTTCTTACTTAAATTTATATCTTTGACATGCGCATACCAGGGTGCTGCTTTAACATCTATTGCCTAAGAGTATTCTTTACTTAAAAGAAAAATCATAGCGGAATTTCTTACACATCTAAGGAGATAATACATATTTGTATTGACTTCTGCAAATGGGTTAGAAGACTGAAGCAAAATTGCGTTGATTGTATCCTGCAAAGCAACATCACAGGATCAGAAGGTCAGAGGGGGCATCTTCTTTCACAGCAGCTATCTTGGTTTTTGACAGCAGAAACACCAGCAAGAGTAAGAAAGTGCTGGTTTTGAGGATGGAAAATAAAGGATGGGGCAAACAGCAAAATAAAGCATGACAACCTGACTGTGACTGCAATGAGTCGAGGTGACACAGAACAATAAAGGGCTGTGGCAAACGCCACGACCGCATCTCCGCAGGGGATGGGTATAATCCGAGCAGGAGCTTGACAGGGAGTAAGTGCAAACCCAGGCCAGAGTCCACCTCAACACCAGGACTCCCGTTATAGGAGGTGCTCCTGTACCTCTGGCCAGGGCAATGGGGAAGTCTGGACTGCAGAGGAAACCTCAAAATACAGTTGCTAGATACCAAGGAAAGATTTCCAAAACAATGGAAAGATGGTAAGAATTTAAGAAGAAGGAACTCTTTTTTTTCCAGTTCATCCATCATCCTTAATTCAATCACTGTCCCCTCAGGCTGCCTAAAGGAGTGGCTTTACTACTCTGCATCGCCATGTGAGCAGAAAAGCTGCAAAATACAAAATAAAATATTCATGCACTCTATGCGATACGAGTCTGTGAAAAAGAGCTGTAGGTGCACACAACGCAAAACAAGGAGAAATCTGTGTCACACCACTGGCAAATAAGGCTAAGCCGTCCTTCCTTGAAGTTTAATGTTGGGAAACTCTGGCTGGCGTAGTTTGCTTTCACAAGAACTACAGTCAGTGGCTTGAGATCACGAATAATGCCCTCAAGGCCAACACTTCGGAGAGAAAGATAGACTTTCCAATTTTGAAATATAGATACATTGATTTAACATTACTATATATTATAATTCTTATATATACAAATATTATATAGCTAGTGGCACTGCAGGGCATGACTGGAGCCAAACGCAAGGCAGCATCAACAGCAGCTCCGCGATCCAACAGAGGCCTCCTCTGTTATCTCCGCTTGCCGCAGCGGCGCATTATCCACATTTCGCACACTACTGCCACAAGTAAGTGATCAAACCCTGACAGCGGGCTGGCACAATATTAAAGGCCCTTTCTAATTGCCGGGCTTCAAATCCCGTCTCTCGGCCTGCTAACAGAAAGCCTGAAAAACTCTTTAATAAATCATAGAAATCAGGAGATGGAAATTAGGTCACCCTCGCGCGCGCCGTACTGCCGAGTGCTCTGTCTGGTTGTCTCCTGAATGATTCAAGCGCTGAGGTTTCTCCTGATCCCCTGGGCAGGTTGCTACTCGGGCCATCTCCCCACCTCGCTCCGGGCCCCAGCCCGGTCCTCCCCATCCAAGCCCATCGTATCCTGCTTTGTGTCCTCCGCGGCCTCCTCCAAAACCCACTCGCGACGCTTCCTCAAGTACCATCGAGCCAATTGTTGCTCAGGAAACGCTCCTGTGCCTCTCCAGCGATCCCGCTGTAGCGTACGGCTATTTTTAGGAGGAAAAGGAGGTGGTGAGGCGATGAAAAGCTGCCAGCTCCAGCTGTACCAGAATAATGCTCCTCTACATGGAAACTACATTACAGTGTTTGCCTTCCAGCACATATAATTAACCCAAACTTTCACTATTCTGGAACGATCCAAAGAGAAAGAGAAATGGAAAATACAGTTCCCAGCACAAAATCAACAATCTTGTTTTCCCTTTAAATCTCCTAGTCAGGCCTGTTTTTCCTCATGACTTTACACCAGCTCATGTCTTATGAGACCAATGGCTAAACAGCAATACCTGGGAGTAATAAAATAATCGGCTGAGCCTGCTAGAGAAAACTGCTAACCCAGAGCCACCTCTGCCTGGTGCCACAGCCCCGAAAGGGGGAGCAAAACCTGCCTTTTCTGCCCGGCTTGGACCAACATGACATGTGGACCTCAGATGGACCTTCATCCACCCTGTCCCTCAGAGCAGCCTGGGCTCCATCGGGGCCAAATTCCTCCTAAAACCTAATAAATTATTAAAGCATGTTTTTCTTCTCTCTCTTTTTTTTTTTTTAAATATACCTAATCCACCCACCTCCTTTGAGAAATTACAGCCTCTTGACCTTAGTTACAAATTTGTCCGGGCAGATTTGGGTGCGTTCATCTAAACTGAATGGAGTCAGGCTTCACAGGCGGACTGACTCATTTTTGTGGGAAAACGTGCAGATAAAGACACTACTCTATGCAAGGCAGGGTGCAAGAACAGGTCTCTCAGTTAGCATAAACATATGTTGCCTAGGTCTGGAACAGTATTTTGATTTTTTTTTTTTCCTCTTCCGCCCCCAACCCCCCCACACCCTTTTCTTCACAGCTTGCTTGTGCTTGCTGGCTTATTAAACAAGATCTTATTTGCAATCAGCAGATCCTAGAAAGCGTGGAGGTGTTGGACATAATTGCCCTGAGATCCGTATGGAGTAAACAACACATCTTCCATCGGGGACTCCTGCTCCATGGCCACTACCGACACGATGCAACACAGCAAGGCTCTGCATTGCCTTCTGCCACCAGGGATGTAGAGCCCTGCGAGCAGGACCTCAAACACTAATTCTGACTTCTGACTTTCACCATGCCCTGGCCCATCAGTTTTTATCTTGGCCTGAAAACAGAGACATCATCTATTCTCCATGCCACACAGGAGCTTTCTAACTCCCATTTCGAATCCAATTAAGACAACGCTATGACTTACCAGTTCTACCTCATTTATCACATAACACATTTTATACTAATATGTGTACTGAATATAATATATAGGTATACAGAACAGTATCTCACAGGCTTTATTTTTTTTCTTCTCTTCATATTTTCTCCAAAGTTCTCTTCATGCTCACATATGCTTTCAATTTTTTCTAGCCCTTTATCCCTACTCCCAGATCCTCCATCTCCACATTCTTCTTTAACCCACTGAACTAAAACCTGTTCTCAGTGGGATCGAACATCTGGTGGGTGATCCTCACACAAGTTTCAGTGCTTCTTTTGTTTCTCTTGCAAACATATCAGCTTTTATAGGTAGTAAAGCTATTGAAAGGGATTCTCTGTCTGTGGAACACAAAACGCTTCCAAGGAAAAGGTAAAGATGGTCTTTGTAAAAAGGTTTTTTTCTCCTTCTTTGTAAAACTTTATTTTTATTAATGCCCTCCTGGATACTGTATCCCACAGGGTGCAAATACAGTCATAAGCAATTTAATAATAACAGTGTATTTTCTTTTTAGCTTTTATCTACTTTGTTTAAAAACAACCAGCTCTACTGATTTGGTCACAAAGCAGGTGAAAAGCGAGCACTTCCATTTCATTTACCTTCAAAGGCAAAACCTGACAATTAGTCAAACTGCATGATATCAATTATTCAGGAAGGGTGTGGAAGACACTGTTTGCTGTTTCCGCAGCACAGGATCTTCACGCAAACTCAGCCGTCCCAAATACTGACCCATTTCTTCTTTTCTAGAGATATTTAGTTCTCGGCCATCCTCCCAAAATTCCTCTGCACTGGTGCTGATGGGGACAACCAATGGCCATGGCCAAAGCAGGTGCAAAGGGCCTGCAAGATGTCTCTTAGCGAGCACTGCTGTTTGTGCAGTTCATTTTCTCACACAGCACATCTGGAAAACAATCTTTTCCTTTTACATATCTACAAGCACTCTTACTACAAAACCCAAGTATTAAGGCTAACTCTAGTAGAAATAAATCTAACTCCAGATCGTAATCGTACTTGACAACTCCTGTGCAAGTGGAAACCATCCATCATGATCATTTGGAATAAACGTGTCTTCTGCTTAATTTTCAGTTTAGTCTACAACAATCCTATTTTTCTGTTATATGCAATCATCTATTTTCACTTAAAATAAATAAATAAACCCGGAGAGAAACAATCTCTGAAAAAAGTACTTAAATATTCAACCTCTGCAATTGTAATATTCACGTCCACCTTAAAACATGATATAGAGCTGGTAAAACACCATATTGTAAGACTCTATTACATGCAGAGATAAAGCACAACCCTACGAACTCACAAGGCATACGCCCCACATGGATTCAAAACCCAACATGCACTGAATGCTCATGTACATGGATTTTCCCCCAACTACGCATTTCAAAGTGAAAAAAGGCAGTTATAAATACTTTCAGGATGAGAACGCTGTGGCTCAAGAGATAAAGCTGATGCTTCATCTCATGAGAAAGAAGCATTCTTCTACAACCACTTATAAATGGTTTGATGTTTTCTGTGAGACAACAAGCTGCCATTTACCACTTCATGAGATTTCCATGAAACAAGTTTGAATGTCACCCACTGTGAATAACACATTTCAAGAATGTGAAAGAAAACACATTTTTATTAACTGGAGATCATGGCTGAAATACAAAGAAATGATGCTTTGCAATTTTAAAAGAAATAGCCATGAATATTCCCCAAGGATTTCATAGCAAGTGCACTGAACAACACACCTAACAAACATAGATGTCACTGCCGCAAACCTACCATCACTACTCACGTTATCCTTAAAAATCTCAGCTTTCAAATAAAAATCAGTAGAGAGTAATTCTTTTTCAAAGAGTGAGTACCCAGCAGGTTTCCACCCTGGACCAAGACGACCCCACAAAAATATTTAGCAGGTTTCCAGCCTAGATAAGAAAGACCCCTCCCTGTTTAAACCAATAAGCG